TTCAGACAGGGTCTCACTAAGTCTCTTAGTTCCCTAGGCTTCCCTGGAACATTTTATTCTCCTGACTCAGTCTCTAAAAGCACTAGGACTACAGGAATGCACCAACACCCTTAGCTAACTTGTGTTACTTCAGTGTTAATATGACAGTTTGGGAGAATACATAGACCTAGAAAAGTGTGTTTTTAATGATTTGTTCTTTCAAGATCCCTCATTTTATTTTATTATTTTATTTTATTTTATTTTGTTTATTGGGCACAGGGTCTAACTACGCAGCTCAGACTCATAGTGTGCTTCCTGTCTTCAGCCTCCCCAGTGCTGGGATTGCAGGCGTACACCACCACACCCAGACTTGGTCCGAGGCTCAGCGCACCCGGGGGCAGGGCTGACCCTGCATGTGGGATCAGGAATCAAGCCCCTGTCCCTGCACTTGCCAAAGGAGGCACTTAGTCCACTGAACAGTCTCGCCAGCCCTTTCAAGATCCCCCATTTTAAATTCTGTCATAGACCCAGTCACAACTTGTCGCGCGCGGCCTTGCCAGCAAGGAAGACGCGACCACTGGTTGTGTCTGGGCAGCTTTTATTGCCCTGTTACATCAGCCTTCTTCCCCTCGAGGCCCCTGCTCTTAGCTTCTAAGTCTCAGGGCTTCCAACCATGGGGCGCCATGTGTGTACCGTCCATTGGTCCAGGTACACGGAAGCAATGCATTAGCCCAAGACTTGGCCTTTTATGGAGTTGTTGATTACCAGGAGCGCTCACTCCTGAGGGGGTGGAAGGCGGAAACCGGCGCCATCCTAAGGCGCAGCTACACGCAGCTCCCTACAACTTGTCAAATTGACACAAAATTTCAGAACAAAATCAGTTATGTCGCAGCAGTGAATCATAGGAGACTTAGCATGAAGGAGAGTCAAAGTACACAAACTGGAGGAGCTAGAGAAACCAAGAGGAAGAAAAGACCTCCCCGTCTCTTTGTGTCGGTCACTCTGCACACATTGGGAAGGATGTAATGTTCTCACTGTTGCCTATTTCAGTTCATTTCACCACGTGTTTACGGAACACCTCTGCTGCGCTCGTGCCAGCTATCACCTCTGAGCAAACAGAGGATGTTTGCGTGGACTCTACAAGTCCGCTTCCTTTTCGAGATACTATCTGTACTTTGTAAACGTAAGATAGGAAGAAGTAGACCAGTTATTCAATGTCTAACTCTGAGATGAACAGAACTAGGAGTGTGTGCTGGGAACGCTTCCCCACTGAGACGCTCCTTCCTGGACTGCCGCTGCCGCTTCTCCAAAGTCATGCATCACTGATCCACAGAAAACCCCGGCTCCTCCCAGCACAGCAACTGGATGCCAAGCTGGCGATTCACATGTTGAGCAGGTCCTAACTGACGAACTACTCCGTGTAGAAAAGTAGGCTTCCAGTGCCTCGCATGGAGTAGTGACCCAGGCAGACCAAGTCCTCTACCTCTGTCATTCCTCCATGCACAGTGAGGGACAGAAAACAAGTTTAAAAAATAATAAGCAGAATGATTTTGACTTGCTGTGGACATCATGAGAGAAAAAATAGATGTGGCAGTGTAATATAAAGTGAGCACGGGGATTCAGCACCATGATTGATTGGGAATGGGCTCTCCATGCAAACTTAAGCCCCTGGGGGACCTCAGCTCTAAGTATCCTCAGAGTGCTCACTGGACTCCATGAGATCCCAGCGAAAAGCTTCAAGCCACCAGGACAAGACAATCTGCTTTGTTTTTTCTTTTTCTTTTTCTTTTTCTTTTCCTTTTCTTTCTTT